TCGAATGATAGGTTGAAAGGTAGACACACCTATGACCAGGTTTACTAGAATGCAGGGAGGCAAGGTCTCGTGAAACCACACGCCGTGAAGCCACCAACAGGCCACGGCGAGATCAAGAATAAAGGAGTAAGTAATAGGGGAATTCCACTAGTGGCTACCACTATTTATGATTAATCTATGACAACTGTCCAAGAGCCATTGTGTATAATGCCACAGGTTTTATGAAAGACATCTCATTAGGATTGCCCATCTATTTCATTCAATTTGTCACTGGAATCTTTCATAAGTTATAGGCAAGGATAATGAGATAGCATGGGGATATTTCATTAGGCTCTTTGGCCCTTTCATTATCATTTCTGAGACTTTTCATTAGGATATTTCATTAGGCTGCTCCGCTTTTTCATTACCATTTCATAGAATTTTCATTAGGACATTTCATTAGGCTCCTTGGCACTTTCATTACCATTTCTTAGAATTTTCATTAGGGTATTTCATTAGGCTCCTGCGCTTTTTCATTGTCATTTCTTAGAAATCTCATTAGGATATTTCATTAGGCTCCTGCGCTTTTTCATTATCATTTCTTAGAATTTTCATTAGGATATTTCATTAGGCTCCTTCGCTTTTTCATTACCATTTCTTAGAATTCTCATTAGGCTCCCGCACTTTTTCATTATCATTTCTTAGAATTTTCATTAGGATATTTCATTAGGCTGCTTCGCGTTTTCATTACCATTTCATAGAATTTTCATTAGGATATTTCATTAGGCTCCTGCGCTTTTTCATTATCATTTCTTAGAATTTTCATTAGGATATTTCATTAGGCTTCTGCGCTTTTTCATTATCATTTCTTAGAATTTTCATTAGGATATTTCATTAGGCTCCTGTGCTTTTTCATTACCATTTCTTAGAATTTTCATTAGGATATTTCATTAGGCTCCTGCGCTTTTTCATTACCATTTCTTAGAATTTTCATTAGGATATCTCATTAGGTGCCTGCGCTTTTTCATTACCATTTCTTAGAATTCTCATTAGGATATTTCATTAGGCTCCTGCGCTTTTTCATTATCATTTCTTAGAATTTTCATTAGGATATTTCATTAGGCTCCTGTGCTTTTTCATTACCATTTCATAGAATTTTCATTAGGATATTTCATTAGGCTCCTGCGCTTTTTCATTACCATTTCTTAGAATTTTCATTAGGATATTTCATTAGGCACCTGCGCTTTTTCATTACCATTTCTTAGAATTCTCATTAGGATATTTCATTAGGCTCCTGCGCTTTTTCATTATCATTTCTTAGAATTTTCATTAGGATATTTCATTAGGCTCCTGTGCTTTTTCATTAC